ATTACTGATTTAAAGTAAATAACTTACATAAAAATTAAACGAACTCAAAACACACTTATGATATGACAATATGTATATATACTTGGATTTGGTTCTGTTTTGGTACTGAGCTAAGAGGAGGTTTATTACTGAGCTACATCCCCAGTCCTCTTTGAGACAGGGTTTTGCTAAATTACCCAGGACAGCCTCAAATTTGCAATGCTCCTGCCTCAGCCTCCCAGGAAGGCTAGGAATAGAGGTATGTGTCACCTGTGGGTYTTTTACCACAATTCCTGGCTCATTAACTTCCTTACCAGGGAAACTCTAATCTTCCCCTGCCTTTAGCTGGCCACAGGAAATTTTCTGACCTACCCTGTTTGACAGTAGACCATGAGACCCTCCTTGGAGGAATGAATGCTCTACAAAGAGGCCAATCTGAACCATCTCTAGGTTGACAGCATTAGAACTGAATGTGATTAGAGGACATCCAGCTGGTATCCACTGCACAGAATTGCTCACTTACTGGTAAAGAGAAATCCCCACACTTCCATACCTTTTGAGGTCCCAGAAGTCCTCTGTGTGATTGTAGTGTGAAAATAAGGGGGAAAGTCTTCTTATTTTTTTCTTTCAACACAATCCCATTTTTTTTTTTTCAGTATTGGGGATTAAATCTAGGAGTGCTCCACCACTGAGCTATATTACTAGCCCCTTTCTGTTTTGAGAAAGGGTCTCACTAAATTGCTTAGGGCCTTACTAAGTTGTTGAGGGCAACCTCAAACTTGTCATCCTCCTGCCTCAGCCTCCCAAACTGCTGTGATTATAGTTGTATGTTACCATGCTTGGCTACAATCCCATTCTTTAAGCTTTTGATTAACAAAAATTTTACAACATAGACAGTGGACAGAAATAGATAGTAAAGGCAAACATCACTTACCTTCATTCCCCACATCATCATTCATGAGTCCCCCCAACCACATCTTCCAGTCCTCATCATCAGCTGTATTGGGATCATACATATCTGGGGTGATATCTGGAGCTCGGAGCTCTGCCTCTAGTTGCCCCAGGGGAACATCTTTCAGGGGCATCTTAGAACGGGTTCGGAATGCAATGAGACTATCATCCATGGGCTAACCAGTGGAGAAAGAAAAAAAAGCTACTCAGCGAATATGTTTTCAAATTCTCTGAACTTCATCCATTCCTCATCCTAGCTAAAACCACAAGAACTCTTCCCTAAACAATTTGTTTTTTGCTGTTTATCTGAAAATATTAAGAAAAACGATGTGTTTTAAACAAACATTTCAAGAAYATCTATTGAGATATGTAATTTATACACCATAAAATTCATCCTTTTAAAGGGTGTAATTGAGTGGATTCAATATATCACAGAATTATACAACCATCACCACTAATTCCAAAATGTTTTCATCATCCCAAAAAGAAATTGCATACCAAAAGTGCTGGGAAGGGATACTGACCAAATTATAATGTTATATTGTATATTATGTGCATGTGTAACAAAAATCCCATCAGTATGTATTAAGTATAATGAACCAATAAAAATGTGGAGAAAAAAAAGAAGTCCTAAACCCATTAACAGTCACCCTTTTTTTCACTCTTCCTCCCAGCCTCTATTAACCATTCATCTTCTTTCTATCTATATGGATTTTCTTCTACTAGACATTTCACAAAAATGGACTCATACAATGTGTGGCCTGTCTCTTGCTGCTTTCACTTGGCATGTTCAAAGTTCATCCTTGTACCATGTATCAGTACTCTACCACTGGGCCACAACCCCAGCCCTGTAATGTTTCTTAAATTACTRGATCCTGACTTGAATAACGACTGTGGTAATATAATAAGAGAATTAATTTTTAGAAAACACACTAAAAGTTTTTAGGGGTGAAAAAACATCATGGGGGGGCGGCTGGGGTTGTGGCTCAGTGGTAGAACACTTGCCTGGCATGTATGAGRCACTGGGTTCAATTGTCAGCACCATATATAAATAAATAAATTAAATAAAGGTTCATTGATAATATATTTTTAAAAAATCATGGCGGCAACACAGCTCCAAAACAATATTTTAAATGTATATATATAGAGACAGAGAAAAAACAATTGTGATAAAACAATTGTGATTCTCAAGAATCTAGGTGAAGGTTGTTTCTATGATGCACATTTTGTAATGCTGTCACAAAGTTTACTCCTTCCTTAGAAACTGCAACTCAGGGGCTGAGGTTGTGGCTCAGTGGTAGAGAGCTTGCCTAATATGCTTGAGACACTAGGTTCAATCTCAGGCACCCCATACAAATAAATAAAATAAAGTTATTGTGTCCTTCTACAACTAAAAAAAAAAAAAATTTAAAGAAAAAGAAACTGCAACTTAGGCAAGATGGAACAAAACAAAAAGAATATCAAAGATTAACAATTTCATGACTCTTACATATAAGAATTTAATCTCTTTCTCTTCTCCTCTAGACATGAGCAACAACTAAATTTCCACATTTCATTTTGTCAGTGATTTGGAGTTAAGACATTTACCTGAAAAGAATCCATGCAGACAGGACTGGAAGCCAGCTCCTCATCTACAGCATGCAACTTCTCCATGAAAGTACTATCCCTGGTCTGTTTTGGTTTGGGAGGGGGCGGGGGCCCCATAGGCACTACCTCAGCACTGATGTGCCTGACGGCTGGTGTGGTGACTTTCTCAGCCTGATTAAAAAGAGGCACCACGTTAAGGAAGGAAGGAAAGAACAAAGAAATGAAGGAAAGGAGAAAAAGAGAAGGAACTAAGAAACAGGRGAAAGAAGCAGGTCTTCCATACCCTATTGACCCTTTTCTTCTTATCTAGACAGAGGTACATGAGAATATGCATTGTCAAGCATATAGATCTAACTAGGTTTTATTCTATTTCCAGTGAAGTCAACACAATGCTACTTAGGTTAGCAAAACATAGGAAATCTAATAAAATGGCTTTAAGGACAATATCAAATAGACAGGAGAAAAGAAACTCTGCTAGTACATTTTTTTTGCCCCTTAAGAGAACTCTGAAAAGCTCTTTCCCTAATACTAAGTTCTAGTCTTGACTGTTTCTTGAGCTAAGGGACGTGGAAAAATGGTAACAGCACAGAATCCCCAAAAATAAATCATCTACTTAATTGGTTAATTAATCTGCTTATACAGTTACATCTAAGTCTCTTTATTTGATGCTGATTTACCTCTGATAATATGCCACTCTCCTCATCAGTTTCAGTCATCTCAGAAGACTGCCTCAGTTTGCATTTCTTTGCCCCACGTGGAGATGAAGCAGTGCTTTCAACATCACTTTCCAATAAGCTCTACAAGACAAATTCAGTCCACTTTTATATACATATGCCTCTGTCTCAATCTRCCGAGTTTGACATCTCAACAGAATAAATAAAAGAAGGAGAAAATAAAAATTGTTTTTGAGAAAATAAAATTTAAAWAGCTTAATATCCTAAAGTGGTGGGGAGGCCATGGATCAGATCACTATCCTCATTTGTATTATAAATTCTATAAAAGTATAAGGCAGGGGCTGGGACAGTAGTTCAGTGGCAGAACACTTGCCTAGCATATATGAGGCACTGGGTTCGATCTTTAGAACTACATAAAAATAAACAAATAAGGGTTGGTATTGTAGCTCAGTGGTAGAGCACCTGCCTCGAAAGCGTGAGGCCCTGGGTTCAGTCCCCAGCACCACATAAACAAATAAAAATAGATATTGTGGGCTGGGGCTGTAGCTCAGCAGCAGAGCGTTTTCTAGCATGCGTGAGGCACTGGGTTTGATCCTCAGCACGACATAAAAATAAAATAAAGGCATTCTGTCAATCTATAATCACAAAAAAAATAAATAAAAATAAAAATAAAAAAATAAAGGCATGCTGTCTATTTACAACTACCAAAAAAAAATTTTTTTAAATATAAGGCAGCAGTTTAAAATTCTTTTACGAACAAGTCAAAGAACAAATTAACACAGCCTTAAAAATGAACAAAGTATGCTWCAAACAACAGCATACATGAATTTCAAAAGCATAATGTTGAACAAAAACAACAAAAGCCAGAAACAAAGGAACACATACACTAAGGGTCCCAGTTACATAAAGTTCATAAATAATAAAAATAGAACTATAGAGAGATGCATACTTAGGTGATATAACTACAAAGAAAGACAAGCAAGTAATTTCCAAATAATGATTATTTTTAGGGGGAGGGAGGTGACAGTGGTTGGGAARGACATACTGGGGTAGTCCTGGCATTGTTAAAATTCTCGACTCTTTACATTTTATTCTGTATACATTTATGTGTTATGTGTTACATTTCATAATATGTGCTAAAAAATGGAGGGAGTATGAAGAGCAGAAAAATACCTCACAGCAAAAAACTCATTAGAAAAAAATAACAATTTTTCAATCCTCTTTATAGATGAGGTAACCATACTAAGAAAGCAAAGCATACCATGTCATATTAAGCAAAACGTTTTCTCACTAACCTCTTCAGCAGTCTCATCTTCCTCTTCTTCATCTGGCTGGTACTCTTCATCAGAGGAATCATCTTCTTCAAGGTGGATATCCACGAACTGTGGAGGCTACATTAGTACAATTAGAAAGAAATGGAGGGCTGGAATTGTAGCTCAGTGGTATAGTGCTTGCCTAGCACATGTGAGACACTGGGTTCAATCCTCAATAGCACATAAAAATAAATAAATAAAATAAAGGTATTGTGTCTATCTATAAGTAAAAAATATTAGAAAGAAAGAAGGACAAGCTGCCTGGGCACAGTGGCACACGCCTGTAATTCCGGCAATCGCGAGTTCAAAGCTAGCCTTAGCAACTCAGTGAGACCCTGTCTCTAAATAAAATACAAAATAGGACTGGGGATGTGGCTCAGTGGTCAAGTGCCCCTGACTTCAATCCCTGGTATCCAAAAAAAAAGAAAGAAAGAAAAATGGAGTAGGACTCAAGGGTGGAGTATGTGCTCAACATGCACAAGGTCCTGGATTCAATCCCCAATAGCACAAAAAATGGACTAATAATAAACACAAATTATAAGTATTTGGAAAAAAAGGGGAAGAAGGCTGGGGTTGTTGCTCRGCGGTGGAGCTCTCGCCTAGCACATGCAAGGCCCTGGGTTTGATCCTCAGCACCACATAAAAATAAATAAATAAAATAAAGGTATTGTGTCCAACTTTACTACTAAAAAATAAATATTAAAAAAAAGAAGGTGAAGAAAGCAGTGCCGGAAAAACAAATTCTAAGAATATAATGTGCAGCTACAGCAAACAACACAAAGCAGGGGTTAAATGACTCCATGAGATGCAAACCCTACAGCAGTGGAAAGGGAGAAATCAAAGTCAAAATTTAAAGTAAAAAAAAAAAAAAAGGTTTAAAAACAAATAGAAGAGAAATAATGAGGCTTCAAAACTGAAGTCTTTCTGGAAAGAATGACAAAGACCTCTCCCAAGTTTACCTTAATTTCATTGGCCTTCTTAATTGGTGAAATATTCCATGTTGGAATTACCTACCAAAAAGAATATAAATAATTAATTGAAATAGATTAACTTTCTTTTTTACTTTCTCTTTACCATTACAAAGAGCCATCTACCTAACAAGTAGCTACAGTGATCTAGAGGTGCTGATTATTCTCGTATCTTCTCAAATGTCTGTGAAAGTTTAACTGGAGAAAAAGAGGGAAGAATCTATTTGTCATTTGCATTTATGCTGTAATCCTAGTAAGATTCACTTTTATCTATAAATGGAGAAAAAAAAATGTGTGTCTTGCAGCTCAGGCTCATATGGGGCAAAGGATAGGAAAACTATTTAACTACAACACTATACAAAAACTTAAGATATTATAGTTACAGCAGCCATTTGACATCAGTATTTCTTTTAATCAATTACATAAATCTGCCACCAGTATGCCTCTAAAAATCYAACCATAAATAGCTCTTACAGAAAGATTTAAGGGTAAAGTATCATATTATCCACTCTTATTTTCAAATAGTATAAGAAAAAACAATAATTATAAACATAAAGCAAATATGATAAAACGTTAATCTTGGAATCTAAATTGTAATACTCTTTCAACTTTTTGTTTGACATGCTTCACACAAGAGTTGGAGGAAAGGCTTTTTTGTTCTTTTAGGTTGGTTGRTTTTTATTTTGTGGTGCTGGGAATTAAACCCAGGGATTTTCTACGAAGCCAAATCCCTAGTCCTTTTTATTTTTTATTTTGAGAAGGGTCTGGATAAATTGCTGAGGCTAGCCTTGGGGACTTGTCTTCCTCCTGCAACAGCTTCCCAARTTGCCAGGATTACAGGCAGGCACCACCATATCCAGCTCTATCTATCCATCTATTTATTTACTTATTTATTTATTTAATCTCTTTATTTATTAATTTAATTTTCTTTTTCTTCTTTTTTTTTTTAATTGTCAATGAACCTTTATTTATTTATTCATATGTGGTGCTGAGAACTGGAACCCAGTGCCTCACACATGCTAGGCAAGTGCTCTGTGCCACAACCCCAGCCCTTATTTTTATATTTTAAATTTTGAGACAGGATCTGAGTTGCCAAGGCTAGCCTCAYATTTTCACTACTCCTGCCTCAGCCTCCTGAGTAACTGGGATTATAGGCATTTACTACTGACTGTTACTGAATTTTTTAAAAACTCTTATATACTGCAGATAAGATGCCACTGAGAATATATAATTTCTTGCCATTCAATTGTGACCCAAACAAAATCATATTATGAACAAAGACAACCAACTACTAGGTTCTGTCTCTAAAGAACCTTAGGTCTTCACATTTCCTCAGTCCTACCATATTCTGACAACTTATGTAGTTCTGTATAACTCGGACCAGTACAGGGTCAGCGGTAYGACTATGATTTAGGTCCAGTTCCCTTCCCACATCATTTTCTTAACCTATTGCCAAACCCATCCAGAAAGCCAGCCAGCATTTAAAAGTGTGTTGGAGTCAGTCTATTAAACATTAAGACYTGGACTCTTCACCTTTGCTCTCCCACATAAATTAATCTTATGGCCTCAAATCTGTACACTATATTCACGGTCAAAAACATAATCCAGAGCCTGATATGGATCTCATTGGCTGTTTTTGTTTTTCTAATCAAACACAAAATCATTGTTAATTATACTCTATATGTCATGTAGATTTCACAGAACTTCTGTCTCATTGATGGTTGTTTCATCATCGCAACCATATGTTCACTGGTGATTATTTTCTGAAGAATGATGAAATTTCAATTTATACAACAAGGATTATTTAATTAGACAAAAAGTGTGGTATGTCTGCCCCTCCTGCTCAAAAAAAAGTCAACATAGCCTTGGATTGTATTAAGAAAAATATGGTCTCTAGAACGCTGAGGAGATATCTAACTAATGTAGACTGTTAAACCACATTTGGTTTAGTAGATTCCATTTGGGGCATACTTTTTTTTGGTACTAGGGATTGAACTCRGGGGCATGTTACCATTAAGCTAAATCACCAGGTCTTTTTACTTTTTTATTTTGAGACAGGGTTTCACTGAGTTGTTGAGTGTCTCACTAAGTTGATGAGGCTGGCCTCAACCCTATGCTTAATTTCCTGAGTTGCTGGGATTATAAATGTGCCCTACCACACCTGGACTACAAATAAATCTTTAAAGGAGCAAACCCAGACCATAATTTTTCCATATTTCTTCCCTATGAATAACCTAGAATTAGATCCTATTTACCAAGCTAAATAAATAACAACAAAATAAAACACAGAACACTTACCACTCCTTTCTCCACCACTTCCTTCAGTTTAGAGCGAGTCATTTTAGGCTCCTAAGGAAAGAGAAACAGGATCAAAAATCAGGGCTTTTGTGTTTGGGTGTTTTTGTTTTGCAGTAGTACAAACTAAAACCAGCAGCACTCYATCACTGAGCTATATCCCCAGCCCTTTTTATTTTTGAGACAGGGTCTTGATAGGTTTCCCAGGATGGCCTCAATTGTGGAATCTTCCTGCCTCAACCTTCCCAGAAATTGGGATTATAGGTGTGCACCACCACCCTGGCTATAAACAGGTTTTGAGATACTAACTTTGCCCCAAGCTATTGAAAGGWTTATAAACTCCTAAGTGACTTCCTACACTTGGCCAGTTTACGGGTAATTCTTCCATGACATTAAAAGACTGATCATCAACTACTTACAAACATTGGCATGTCTTCTGTTTCACTGATGGCTGCTTTCATCATAGCTACCACATGTTCATTTGTGATTACTTCCTGGAGAAAGATGAAATTTCACTTTATGTTCACATAAAGATGTTGTCATCTAGAAAATTCTCATCTGTATGTAACTCTGTTAAACCTACATGGAGGATTAATGAAAGCCAGTCTCCGCGTTCAGACTGGGATAAAGCAAGTTGACTCACCACAAAGAAGACAGAAAAAGTTTTAGATAGAAGCACAGAGTGTGAAATAATGTAGTAGCAAATAAATCAATCATATTAGCTGCTACTAGGAACAGCAATAAAAAGTGATTCTAAAGTAACCATATGCTACAGGAAACAGCAAAATAGCTGAGTTTGCTACATATCTAAAACACTGTTGATATGTGTGCTAAGTACAATCAAATGCTAAATGGGTTTCTTTTCAGATGTATCACCCCACATAAGTAAATCCACTATGAAYATTCTTATCTTCAAATCTGCTAAATACATTAAGCAAACCAGWGGAAGGAAGCAAAGACAGTTATCTTCACAATTAAGTTCTTCTTTAATATGTGTTCAGATTTCAAATTTGTGCTAAGTGCAGAGAAAGTTATCTTGAGATATAAAATGCTTTGTCACAGGTAACCCACAAAACTGGTAATTAATCTACCAAGAGTCAAGAATTTGCTGAGTCTGTTTATTTGCTTTCCATGAMAGTTTCCACTGCAATAACAGAGCGGCCCAGTCTTACTCACATGAAGAATGTTTCGCACGTTGACTGCTGTCAGGTTGTGCTGCTTGGCACCATCCTCTAAGGTACGATCAAGCATGTCATCCAATTTCAGGTCACAGGCCAAGGTCCCTTGTTCTTGACCCTTTCCATCTCGTTTTCTCTTGGTACCCTTCTTCTTTTTTCTCCTTTTCTCACTTTCTTCATTGTCTTGTTCGTCTGTTATAAACCAACATTATCACCATAATCTCCAAAATAGCTGCTCTTAGAACTAAGCCCAAAAAGGCAATAGTAAAARAAAATCAAGCTAATGGTATTGTAGTAGCAATAATAACTAACATTCACTGAATATTTTATGTCAGACACTTTTTTTTTTCTTTTTTTGGTACCAGGGATTAAACCCAGAGTGCTTAATCATTGAGAGACATCCCCAGCCCACCCACCATTTTAGGGGATGGGATACCGGGGATTGAACTCAGGGACACTTGACCACTGAGTCACATCTCCAGCCCTATTTTGTATTTTATTTTGCAATTGTACATGGACAGAATGCCTTTATTTCATTTGTTAATTTTTATGTGGTGCTAAGGATTGAACCCAGTGCCTTCTCACACGTTAGGCAAGCACTTTGCTACTGAGCTACAGCCCTAGCCCCTTATTTTGTGTTTTATTTAGAGACAGAGTCTCACTGAGTTGCTTAGTGCCTTGCTTTTGCTGAGGCCGGCTTTGAACTCGTGATCCTCCTACCCTCAACCTCCAGAGCCACTGGGATTACAGGCATGCACCACCTTACCCAGCTGTCAAATACTCTTGTACATACTTTATAGATCTTAATTCATGTACTCCTATGAGGTATTAATTCACTTGCCCTATCTGGTAGAGACTATTATTTTGCTACCATAAAGATGAAGAAACTGAAGCAGAGAGGTTAAGAAACTTTCCTAAGAATAGTTGAATCCAAGCATGYTGGTTACAGAATCTACAACTGAAATTATTACTCTATACTATCCAGATAATATAYCAAAGCTCCCGGGTTTGTGCCCTAATCCTACAACCTAAATGGGTTACCCTGGTAATAGGATTTCAACTTTTTTTTTAAACACTAGATATGTACCCTTTAGGGTGATCATGCAGATCAAATAATATTTAATAATCAAAGTACTTTATAATCAATAAAATATCATACAAATATAATTTATTATTACTATTATACTATAAATGGAAAACAAGAAGGGCTGGGGATGTGGCTCAAGCCGTAGCACACTCGCCTGGCATGCACGGGGCGCTGGGTTCGATCCTCAGCACCACATAAAAATAAAATAAAGAGTATATTAAAAAAAAAAAAGGAAAACAAGAAACAAACCAATAAAAAATCTACAGGAAGGAAGGAGAAAGAGAAGGAAAGAAAGAGAGATAGGAAAGGAAGGTGAAAGAGAAGAAAGGAAAGAAGGATGGAAGAAAGGAAGGAGAGAGTTGAGTATCTTTATTCTTCAGGGAAAGGTCCACATTTATAACCAAAGGAAGAACTCTAAAAATTCTACTACACCTTGGAATAAATAATATAGATTAACATAAAACACCAATCAAACCAATATAACTTTTTAATAATCTTTTTAAGCAATGGGGAAGAAAAAAACCAAGTAAATAAAGAGTGGAAATTATCCTAATATTGATTTTAAGGGGGAAATTTCAAAAAGTACCCCCAAAGAAATAAAACTCTTTACTAGTGATCATTTAAGGAAGCAGCAAAGGGCGAATTGCATGGCATAACACGTAGTAAAACTTCCTACAAACCTTGGTATACACTACTTTCGCCAAAGTCTCTGTTCTCACCTCATTACTCCTTTTCTCCATAAATTCCAAAGCTTCTCTCTCTTCACCACTCAGATCTCCTCTCTGTCCCCCCTTCTCTCTTACATCTTTTCTCATATAGACCAACCTAGCTGGTTCTTGGTTTCTGCCATCCACCTTTCCCTCATTTCACCAGCAATGTAACAATGATCTGGTAGTTGCAGAGTAAGAAAAGGACTTCTGGCCAGGGAGGAAGTTTTGATTCATCTTTACACTCATATCCTATCCTGTTGTTAAATCACACGGTTAACAGTAAAACTGATCCAAAAAATAAAAATTTGAGGGGCTGAGATTGTGGCTCAGCAGTAGAGTGCTCACCTAGCACATTCAGGGACCTGGATTTGATCCTTAGCACCACATAAAAATAAATAAAATAAAAGTATTGTGTCCAACTGCAACTAAAAAAATGAATATTTTTAAAAAATTTTTGAAAAAATATATAAATTAAAACTATGAAATGATGCTGTAAACAATAAAATTTGATGTTAACTAAAAATGACTCAGAGGAATCAAATCTTCTTTATATAAATTAGATATACAAAATTCATAGGAATAAAGGCCAAAAAGGGAACATTTTAGAAGCAGCTAAAATTCATAAAACTTTGTATAAATAACTGATAAAGAATCAAAATGAGCTGGGTGGGGTGGCGCACGCCTGTAATTCCAGTGCTTGGGAGAATGAGGCAGGAGGATCATAATTCAAAGGTAGCCTCAAAAGCAAAAACAAGGCCCAAAGCAATTTAGTGAGACCCTGTCTCTAAATAAAATACAAAATAGTGCTGGAAGATGTGGCTCAGTGGTCGAGTGCCCTTGAATTCAATCACCAGTAACACCCCCCTCCCCCCAAAAAAAGAATCAAACTGTCCTTTAAAACACTGTTATTCAAACTATTTATTGCAGAGAACCAGTTTTGCTTTGTACAAATTCAGTGCAGACTTACATTTTTACAAAATAAAAATGTAGCCATTGTTAAAATATTTAACATTTTTTTCTAAATTTTATTCTTAGTTGCCCTTAGTTTTTTGGGGTTGCTTTTTTTCTTGGGGGGATGGGCACTGTTGGGAGGCCATCAGCCACGAATGAATTAGCATGCAAAGACCACTGAAAGCCATACAGAGCCTTATACTGGGGGCTTGGTACGTTAAAACTTCCCCCAGTCTTAAGAACCCTACCTTATCATTGAAACTATGTCACAACTCCCAAATCACCCTGACAACCAAACATCAAGACCTTCACAACACATAAAAATAAAATAAAGATATTGGGGCTGGGGATGTGGCTCAAGTGGTAGCATGCTTGCCTGGCATGCGTGCGGCCCGGGTTCGATCCTCAGCACCACATACAAAGATGTTGTGTCTGTCCGCCGAGAACTGAAAAATAAATATTAAAAAAAAAAAATTTCTCTCTCTCTCTCCTCTCTCACTCTCTCTTTAAAAAAAAAATAAATAAATAATAAGGTAAAGGTATTGTATCCATTTACAACTAAAAATATATATTAAAAAAAAGGAAGCCCCAATTTAGGGAGCAGGAAACTGAGGCAAAAACAGGGTGACTCAATTTCCTTAAAAACTCCTACCCTATGAGTACGACACCATCCATTCTCAGAGGTGGTACATGCAAGCTCCTAGATTGTCAGTCAAAAGTCAGAAGGTGGACTTGGGCGGAACTCCGGAAGCTTTCCTGGAATTCCGGAAGCTTTCCTGGAATTCCCAATAAAATTAGAGCAGGAAGGGCTCACACTCCCTCTTTCCCTCTGAGAAGAACCACACTCTCCCTAGAGAGTGGTCCCTTTTCCTTTTATCATACCTTGAAATAAACTCATTTTACTAGGGGAACATGTCTAAAATCCTTCTGAATTGATCACTTCAGGATTTGAAAGAAGCCCTTCATGCTGCCTCAGTTTCCTGGAAGCCCCCAGCTCTGTAATATTTGGCTTTTCTGCCTACTCTCTGAACCCTTCTCACTTGGCAAGAGCTCTGTTTCTTCTCTTTTCACACTCACACTCCATTGTCCCTGAATTTCATTCTTCAAGTTCATGAGCCAAGAACGCAGAAAGGAATCTCAGGAAGAGCCACTGCTGAACTATAACACAAGCAGGCATGGCCTGCTCTGGAGCTGGGAGAGCTGTTAACACAAATGGGTCCTGCATGCCATAATCATAACAGCAGAAAATCCAGTTTCAGCACTGGGAATTAAACCCACAAACCTTTAATCACTGAGCTAYGTCCCCAGCCCTTTTTCTTTTTTATTTTGAGAAAGGTCTCACTAAAGTTGCTGAGGCTCTGGCAAAGTTGCTAAGGCTGGCCTTCAACTCGGGATCCTCCTGCCTCAGTCTCCCAAATTCCTAGGATCAGAGGTAGACACAACTCTGCCCAGCTGCCATTAGCTATTTTGTATCAAACCTGTAAGAGTATACAGATTAACACAAGTCCTCAGACCACACTTTTGAGTTGCAMTGCTTTACGATTTCCACCAAAATGCACAATCCAAATAAAAGTAAAACAAAAACGCAAGATACAATTTAAATGAATTACAAAGAAAGTTTATAATAGAATTTAAAATAATAATAAAATTCATTGCAGAAGATACTTTCCCATTCAAAAACCATCAGGATTATCATAATTACATTTAAATTACTATCTAACCCCCACACACTTTTTTTTTCACTGCTATGTTTCAAACAAACCCAGGACCTTCCACATGCTGGCAAGTGCTCCACCACTTAGCTATGCCTCAAGGCCCTAAAATAACTATCCCATAAAATGGAATCAAAACTGGAACTATGGCCAGGAGGGATGGTACACACATGTAATTTTAGTGACTCAAGAGRCTGAGACATGAGGATTGTAAATTCAAGGCCAGCCTCAGAAACCTAGTGAGGCCCTAAACAATTAATGAGACTGTTTAAAAAAATAATAATAATACAATAAAATAAAATAAACTGGGGATGACTCAGAATGATAAAGCATTCCTGGGTTCAATACCTACCAAAAAAAATAAAATAAAATACTGTCACTATGGGTTAAACTATCCCCATGTCAAATTTACATCTGTTTTCTGATTTTGATGTTGAGTATATTGTGGAATGTGTGTCTATAAGACAAATCTAATAAATTCAAATTCTAACACATTGCACAGATAATCTAAGAAAATATAACATGGTTACATCTTTTTCTGTTATGGAACTAATCCGTTATCTTACTTTTTAAATACTGGGATGCCAGTGACTCTAAAGGGAAGGACAGCAGAATAAAATAGACCTTATTATTGCTGTGGGTATATACGTGACTGCATGACCAATGTAATTCTGCAACCTGTACACTCAGAAAAA